GTGCTGTCCAACCCAGTTGAAATGAGCACTCAGCATGCTGCCGTTTTTTTTTGTCACAAAAGCCCTTAAATGAGTCRGATTGGATCTTAGAGGGTTAGAATGATTAGTTTCTATGATTTTACTTTTTTAATTGTAAATGGAATTCTTTCCACCATCTACAGGGAAACTTTGCAGTGGTCTCTTAATATTTTTTTTCTCCAGAGCTGTATATAGGTGGACCATATAATCTTCTTTGGACAAGTTAGGTGGAACAACACTCGAGGTTAAAGCTATGACCCCCTTCCCCTATTACCCCTGCAGATATATCTCAAATGTACCATCAAAACCTGTCATGTGCTGCTATGAACGCCTGCAGTCAAACAGAAGGGTTCATTCCCCATCAGTGATCAGCAGTGATGCAGGCGTCTGCATGTGTTTCTTGTTGAAACAGTTTATAGATACAGGAGCTACAAGACAACTCAAAGTAGAAGCGTGTGTGCAATACRGGACAGCAAGCGTGTGTGTACTGAGACAAAGAATGCTTTTGTGTAAATGTCCGCACTGTGACAGAGGACTTACATGCCTAATACAGAGGGATAAAGGCAGCTGTGCGGCGATGAGCGCCTAATCCGAGCGCGCGTTATTGGTCCGGCGAGGCTGGCGAGATATAAGCATTTTACTTGTTGAAAGGGATGTTCTTCACTCGGAGCCTCGTCGGCCCTGACAGAACTGGGACATAATTTTCCTTGTCAAGGCTAATAATCAATTCCCACTATGAGGATAATCTGACAGCAGTACCCCACTGTGTATGGCGCCCCTTAGCGTAAACTGTCGTCACATTCCAGTGTATTAATAACCAGCAAAACAGTTCCAAATAGCAAGTGAAGAAACCCCATGTGGCCTGTCTCCGWATGTCAGTAAACACTCTACAGTGAGACTGATCCTCGACGTGCTTTGATGTTCRAGTTTGATGCTAATGACAGATAATGGAGAACATCAGGAAATCGACTCGTTTCTCAAAAAAAAAAATATTAAAAATTAAGCAGCATTCATGCCTCTAGGCCCTGTATTTGTCCGAACCGAGCAACCTCTGAAGCTCTTTGTTTGATTTCTTACATCAGACTATTTATATCTATTTCTTTAATGGATATGTAACCTGTGTGTGATTCCGTGGCAGCAGGTGTCCCCCAGGGTGGGGTGGGGGAGATGAGCTGGGGGTACAGCATCATTCCTCATCTGGACGGGACATTAATAACGCAGAGACCTGGGGAGGAAGCTCCATCTGGGCCAGGGCTGGTGCACGGATGAGGGGACAGATCACTGGTCTTTGTAATCCGTAATCCCTCACAAAGTGCAGGACCAGCCCTTGGGGCTCCRTTGACAAACAGAACGACTTTCAGGTGTAGCTTTTGTGGACAAAAACAACCCTACCTTTACCCCCATCACACCACGTATACAACCCCATCCTTTGGCATCTATAGAACTTCACATTTACCTATTCAGCTGTTTATTAAAACTGTAACAAGAAATATCCATGTCATGGGATTTTCTGTATCTTTCACCTTTTAGTGGGTGTTAAACAAATAGCAAAAGCTTTATTTACTTTCAAACTCAAGAAAATGATTCAGCCAGGAGATAAAAGCCCTGTTAGGAGAAGAAATACCAATCAATAGGTCAATTTTATGTCTCTATCAGTGACTACTTATTGCTATTTTAACACCGTTTTTCCCCTAAAAGTGCATGCTAATCAACACATAAAAACAATTTACTTTTCAATGTGAGCTTGAGGTGGAGGCATGAGGTGGTAACTGCASCACTACTTCTGCACCTTTAAAACTTGCATGTTTTGTGCAACAGATTTTCTTATCTCAAAGTAAAAAAAAATGTTTATTTTTTATTTTCCTTTACAGCTTTCATCTCAAATACCAAAGTGTGAACTAGAATTAAAGGCACAAAAATATGAATCTCGACTTTTGCTTTTCAGGTTCTTTACTTCACTGTTAACTTTTCTGTTAAGGCGTTATCTGAGCCATAAGAAGGTGGAAAAAAAAAAAAACAAGTCATCATTCCCACGCAATAAACACTAACACTTGAAAGTTCCTTAAATACCGGAGAGCTAGACATCTAAACAGACTGATGCTAAGGTTGTGATTAAATCAAACACAGAAGATGTCAAGCTGTCATGTTAGTTTATGAACGAGGAACTGGCTCAAAATAAGACAGCTGGAAATGAGAGGAAATGGAGGGTGAGTCAGCAGGTCCACAAATATGAGACTTGAGCTCAAGATCCTTTTTATGGAAAGGTGAAGAAGAAATGAAAATGGTTTTGCCTGTGTGTTTATTTTAGCAAAATATTATATTGTATTTTATATAAAATATTATTTTGCACAGAATTTAGTTAATCAATCAGAGCAGTAGCCTAATTGGACGGATTACCTTTTGGGCTGTGTCTCATTTCAGGGGATGTGTCCTTCAAAGTTTGCATTCACTGGTCACATATGTCCCWGTTAGTGGCTCCTATGTGGCCCTCAGCAAATGAAGGCTACATTTGAGTATCATTCCTGGCTGAGAAGATTCCAGGTTTCATTGCACAGTCAGCAAACTAACATGGCAGAGTTTTCTTTTCTTTTTAGTTTTTTTTAAGTCGTAGTTTGGAAATTCATCACAGACCGAAGAATTTGTTTTTAAATTTAAGTTTAGCAACTTAGCTGATGAAATCTATGCTGCAATGAGATGTTAAATAAAATGCAACTGAGACCGGAGCTAAACTCAAATCACTGCTTATGTTTTTATTTACGTGTAACTTTCTAATTGTGAAGTTACTCAGTGAATTGTCTGAAGGTATGCGATGTCAATGTATCACGCAAACATACGGAGACTAGACCGTCTCATTTCACAACCGTTGTTCCCCGGACTGCAAAYGGTGTGGTCTCCATGGGACATGAAGGCAGTCCCTGATGTGGGAAACAGCTTTGGAGTTTCCCCAATTCAATATTAACACCTCAGCTATTTGCCATTAGCCAATGCAAATAAAAGTCTCTACCTCAGTCAATAATATAGATATTGAACTGAAATGTGGTGTGGTAGTAGCTGAGAGTCATTTGCAAGATGTGCATGAACACATGAAATTGTGCACAGTTATTTACAAGGTTTGACCAAAATATCTGAAACTCCTTCCTGTTATTTGTTGCTTATTTACATTATAGTATTAGAACTACATGGTTAAGTTTGTGAAAAGTAAAACCTTTACATTTTAGCGTGATAGTTATTATTAGATGCTCAAGCTGGGTAAAAAGGAAGCAGAAAAATATTGGATATGTTTTCTTTACAGAGGTTTGTGGTTTTAATCCTGATGATGGTGCTGTTGAAATAGACCACTTCAGGTTGTGTTCTTAGCACACAGAAAACTGATGCAATAAAACTCCTGCAGCATCTAAATGAGAGTAAACACAAGCTTAAATAACAAATTACAAATTAATATGAAACGAGTCCCGACGTTTCTTTTATATTTAGCACATAATGATTTTTAAATCGTATTTATAGCCTGGAATTTATTTGGAGCGTCAGCRTTGGCAAACTGGGTAGGTCTGTCCTCCTCTATATCTGTTAATGAAGATATTTTGGAGTCTTTTATTTTTGCAAGAGGGCAGTCATGAGAGATAAGTTTGATCTTTGCTGGAGGTGGAGGTGAAAGGGTCCAGACTGAGGAGAGATAAATGAGCTGAAGGGAGAGAAGGGAGCATCACAGGTCTGTCTCAGCACACTTGCGACTTCCTGTTAGTTCATTCAATTCTTTTTTTTCCCCTCTTTTTCTTCCAGCTGTGGAATGGCCTCTCGCTGATTGTTTTTTTTTTTTTTTCAGGTGCACTAGCCTGAAGCTTTCCTGACTCTTCACTAGTTATTCATTTCCATCAGCATGAAACGCCTTAAGCAATGTGATCTGCAATGTGCTCCCAGTTCAGGTGTTCAGCAGCTACACTGGATCAGCCTCGCATCAAATATATATGCCACGATGCCCAGGAGCACAACGGTATGTCTTCGTGGCTGAATGAACTTTTGTCATTAGAGATATCACAGAGACAGAAGGATATTTTTAACTACTATAAAATGTCTGAAGTATTTTCTGTTTAATCCATGAAGGATAATCCCAACTTTAAATACATTTTTGGATTTCAAACGTTTTCAGATATTAGAAAGTCTAAAGCAGGATGAGAGACTTTGGCCAATCGCATATATCTTCAGGGAAACGGACTGCTTTTCTATAAATGCAGATGTTTGCACACATCCTACAGATGATGGAGGCAGTGGCAGAAAATGTTCTGGAAAAAGGTGCTTTTCTGCCACTGACAACTGCTGCCCACACTGCAAAGTAAACCCCCCACAAAAAAAAAAAATAAATAAATAAAAAAGAAGAAGAAAGCTGCCAAACTAAAACAGAGTTTGACAACAAACACAGAAACTTATTTATTTACTTATTTTATTCTGCATCCCTACTGAACAGGTGTCACTGTGTGTTGCAGGGCCAAATCTGTGCTCGTGTTTGTTTCGSTCGGAAAATGTTGCCAACTTAATTTTTATTTCAAAACAGTTTCAGCWCTTGAACTGGTCACCCAGGTTATCAGGATTTTTACTAACCTTAGTTATGCGCCTACGGGAGAAAATGCGCTGTTTTTCCCCCCTGTAAAACTATGGATCAATCTGCTACGTGTTGATTTTTAAAACGAAAAAAAAAAAAGCCATTTTTATTCATCACCATTTGGAGTATTTCAAAGTTAGTTTTCTGGAATGAAAATGAGCAAACATAAGCATCTGCAGTAATTCGTAAGCTAGGTGTAAATAAAATCAGATTTCAAAGAAATCAAGCACTGGAATCAAACTGACTATTTTGCTTCCATTGATATTACTCTAAGTAATAAATCTTTATTTTTTTATTGTAAAGGACTTGTCAAGGACATCATAAGAGGGCTCAGTTTTGAATTGTCAGCAGCAGCGTTCTGTTAAAACACAGCAAAAGTTCTCACCATCCACACAGGAGGGTTTGTTCCGTGTCGTCCCGGCCACTTTCCCAGGTAAACAGGAGCACTTGACTGTCTGAGAGCGCTCCTCAATGCGGTTTTTGTTACAGCATCGGTGGGCAGCAATCACCTCACACGTTCCACCCTCTGAAGAGAGAAAGAACAGGAAACTGCAGTTCAGAAAACATAAAAGAGTAGTTAAAAAAAGAGAAGCTTTTGCCATAAAACCACACAAATTACTGGAAGTTATCGTTCGTGCTTCATTCATGTATTTTTTAAAAGGAGCTCTTTCAGCACGTAGCCATAAAGTGAATGCGAGATGAGCTCGGTGAAAATCGACTTCTGCTCGTGAAATTATGCAAGTCGAGCAGCAGTACAATCAGCAGCCACTTACACTGTAAGCATGTGTAACAAATTGGCCCTCAAGGAATCTCAATTATGTCATCAAATTGCCTCTCATTCAGTGCCGGCTATCCTCACTTCATACCAATCAGCTCATGATTACTCTCATAAGGAGCATCACACGCTCAGTAGTTAATAATGTGTCGTTATTTGGTCTGTTTTACATAAGTTATCAGTATGACCAAAAGCATATGAATCATTTGTATGAGCTGCTAAGATCACACAGYGATGACTGCTTTGACAGTTGACACTTTTTGACYCTTGTGACTGCGCCAACACAGTCTCAGGCTACACCACACTGAAACATTAACCCCAAAGGCTAGGTGACATCAGTTAGAGCAAATGTAGTACAGTATGCCCCAATTTGACAGAGGAGGATGTCAAAAAATAAATAAATAAAAAAGCAGACAGAGAAGTTGATACATGCCAATGGCACTAGTGGGTCAAAAAAACAATCGTGAGAATTCCCTGAGGGAGGTTGATGAGGTGATGGAGCTGAGGGACACCCTGAAAATGAGCAAGGCATGCAGGGGAAAGAAGCTAGAGGACAAGGTGTGTCTTCCTGCCATGGACTGGCCATGCCAGTGAGTAATGAGGCAGCCAATGGAAGTGCCCCTTTCTCACAATTATAAAGCATGGGGCTAATGCAGCCAGCAGAGCTGCAGGAGAAAGGCTCTCCATCACTGCTGCACCCGCTTCTATAGGCTTCAGGAAAAACTCTATCTTCTTATGACAGCAACGACAACAACAGACACCAGCATCCAACAATTAAAACTGGAGCTCATCCAAGGATGGAAGATAAGGGAGAAGAAGAGCTTAACATATTATCTCCCAGGACATAAGCAGAAAGTGAGGAAAAAAAAGTTCCACACCTCACCCTGGTGAGTGCTTTATTTTAGTCAGCTAAAGAGGACATCCTGCTGCAAAGGGAAAGTGCATTTGCTTTCACTGGCATGACAACAACCTGTTTTTGTATTTWTTTTATTTTATTTTTTTTTGCTTTGGCTGTGTTGTTGTGCAAATACTGTATTTGATGCAGCTCAGGCCAGGAATTACGGAACTGAGCACCCGGCAGTCTAGACACGTTTGGCAACAGTTTTCTTCTTCCATTCCCATCAATGTCTGTCTTGGCGAGACCAAAGTCCAAAGAGTTCTGAATTAAAAGACAAACATTACAGTCCTGCCGGACCCAGCTGTCGTGCAGTATTAATGTCACTCTCTCTGTTCTGTTGTAAGATTTTTCTGAGCAGAAGGAAGCAGAGGGCAGACTTAAAAGGAAAAGAGGAAAAATCCCTTTTTCATGTGCTAAAACCACAAAAAACCCCACAACGTGTTAAATATTTTATTGTCAAGGTACTGACCTGTAGACTTGGTTGGATATTTCATTTTTTTTCATATTTAATAAGATTTAATTTTGAATGAAACATACACCATGTTGGCTCTTTGCAATAAATCTCAAATATCTAAATAGTTCAGTCTAACAGACAGTGTGGTGTTAAATATGAAACAAGCATATTAAACTTTACTACAGCTGTGTAGATGCCATAACAGAACTCTGTTCAGACTCATTTTTAAGGATTTTCTGCTTTGCACATTCTTTTCTGCCCTACACTGTTACAATAAGCACCATCTAGTGGCAAGAAGTAATAACAGCCACAAACTAGAACATAAATACAACACTGGACTGGAGACTTTTATGACTTCTATTGCTGCTTGAGAAGGATTTAAAATTAATAATTGTCCAGTGGGTTGCGTTATCTTTCTTTATGAACATGCGATCTACAGGTTTGTTGTGATAGGGGACATTTCGTTGGCACAGCTGGATCTGGGTTCCTAGGAGATGCCACCTTGTCACCAGAAAAGGTTCAGACCTTTTGATGCTCCGAGCACGAGTCTAGGGAAACTTCTATCCAGGTGCATGCAACTTTGACATGCCTTTTGCAGATGAAGAACACCTCATTTTAAAGCAACACCACTCTTTCAGCAGGATAATGCATTTTACATTACCTCAGACAGAATTCATAAACTGTTTGAGGAACCTGACAACAGCTGAATGAAACATGCGCTGTAACAAAACCCCATTTTTTAACACAAAATAACAACAGGCTACAAAACACCTTCGTCATTACTGCTGTGTTTTCATCTTGTCCGAAAATCGGAACAATCTGGCCTTAAMGTATGACACAGTCTAGCATTATAATATATGTCTATGATCAAACCTAATTGATTTCTCTTAACTGAGATTATCCAAAGAGACAAGTTCTGCAAAGCATTTTAAAATATTTCTCACTGACCCATTCATGCATAAAGTCATTTTGCTATTATAGAGTTTTGCACATTAAACACAGAACTTTCYATTATACTGTACTAACACACCAATAGGCATAGGCAAGAGCATTCGTGGGCTCAGTATCCTGTTTAAGGATACTTTGGAATGTTGGTGCTGGGAATCAAACGCATGACCCTTTTATTGCAGGATAACCTCCATATCCACAGGGTCAGTCCATCCCTAAATAAAACATTAAGTGTTAAAAACCTTTTCACTGATTCCCACGTGCCTTTAAATAATGTTCCTACACAGCCAAACACATCAGTGCATATGCAATCAATTTAAGTTGGGTTTAGCCAGGAGGATGTTCCATGTGAAACATCTGGTACAAGAAAGACAGCAGTACAAATGGCTCCATGATTACTTTACTGAGTATAAAAGCCACTTAATGGGCACTTGAACTAGACATAAACACATTCAGGTAGTGGGAGAACCCAGGAGGAGGTAAATAACCTTCTGTATGAGCTTCTTAATTTACAGGTAGGTGTATTTAAGCATGACAGTTGGTCATTCATGACAGATTTCTGATAAATAGTTTTCCATTCAAGCGCACATTAGCTATTGTTTGTGCATTCTGGTGCAAAATAGGTCGACAAATGTTTGAGACATGACTGCCGTTGTAATGGATGTAGTGCTTGGAGCCTGTCAGGTGGCTAAAGTAGTTAAACTAACCTGCTAAGATGGAGTGGATGGCTGTGCACTCTAGCCTTTGGTGAGTGGAGGTGAAGGACGTCGATGGGACCATCGACTGGTCATTTTTCTCTCTTCGTCCAACAGTGACAGCAGCCATTAAATGATTGGATGCGGTGATTATGCTTAAGGAAATCAATGGCTCTTTGTTCTCAGCTTAGCTCAACGGCCAATTACAAGCTGTTAATGAGGAAGGGGGTGTAAAATGCGTAGATGGATAGGTGAAGTAGTGATAAGAGTTTGTGGGAACAAGCCATACTTGATGTTAAAGTGGTTTTTCTTGCGGAGATCAAAGTTGAAATGAAGATTTGGGAAATAATTACAACTGTTAAAAAATACATTAATCCAACTCTCCATAAACTGTATAAATATACTTTACATATAAGCAAATACATTATTTTAGTACAACATAGTATTTTATAACCATGAGTTTTATATTTCAACCTCTCCTAGACATGCACATTTGTAGACAAATCAGACGTGGCTGAATGAGGATCCTCACATTTTCTGTAAAAGTTACAACATACATGTTTCGAGGTCCAGACTTATCACAATCTTACATATCTTTCAAGTACAAGCCTGAGTATGGGTTGTGCCAAATGTATAGTAAAAATGTTTTAAAAAATGTCACTAACACATCTTCATTATCTAGCTTAATTTCTGAGTGTAAAATCTTAGTAAACATCCACTGGCATTTTATTGTTATTTAGTTAAATGTTGCTATTTTTTTACTAAATGTGCGATTTAATTGTAAAATGTTGTGTCAAAATGTCAAATCCAAAATTTAAATGTTAAATTGTTGAAGTTTACATTTCAGAAATTATTGTATTTCAGAATGGAATACAACTCTTGCCTTTGGTGCGTGGCTTTTGTTTTAATGTCATTATCCTGTGACAAAACCATCTGCTAACACTGCTAACATTGCTAACACTGCTAATAATGTTAACACTGACAAGACATCAAACTTGCAGCCGGTGTCTGAGTTGCACTTCAAACTGATGGACCACAGGTWTCCACAATGTTTTCAATGAACACATTTTGAATTAAAATTTTAAATGCCATCTTCAGCAACGTTAGCAGTGTTAGCAGTTACTTGCTTTTTCGCATTATRATTACATCACAACAGAAGCCGTGCACCAAAGAAAAAATCTGCAATCCATTCCAAAATTCTTAAAAATAAGCTTCATAATTTATCTGCACCATTTAAGAWTTAATTTTTGCATTTAATTTAGGATTTAATATTTACGTTATAGTATAGTGCAATAGAACATTCAACCTTTAAGTGCACCATTTAAGATTTAATTTTTGCATTTAATTTAGGATTTAATATTTACGTTATAGTATAGTGCAATAGAACATTCAACCTTTAAGTGAGCATTTAGCAATAATTAGCACACAGAACAGTGAAGTAATAAATGAAATGTTTTTTTAAACTAGTATTTTACTGTCAGAACGTGTGCTCAATCATAAAAAATGTATTGATCTTTTTTTTTACATTTTATTTTACGATTGGAGCCCCATACCTGAGTCTGTTTGGCAGTCACATTAGCAAACAGGGATTTACAGGAAAGGAAAGGTTGAATGTTAAAACAATTTGTCAGATCAAATAGTAAAAAAAATCTAATCTTCAGATAACATTCCAAATTGTTTTACTTGCAGCAACATTTGTGTTTTTAGCTCACTTCAGTCACATTAACCTGAAAATCCTTGCTGAGCTTTCTCTGAA